CAATCCCTAAGGATCTCGTGATTGGGAAGGATATTAAAGCCGGGTTCAGTCCGAGTGTCCTGACTGAAGCACGAGGAGAAACAGTCCTGAGCCTTTGTCTGCCGGGGTGAAGGTTACTCTAGGTCCGTGTTTCCCAAATGGTGTTCCGCGGAATCCCGGGGTTCCGCAAAGCGAACATAAGGGATCCGCGAGAAAATTCCTTTACAAGAATATCTTATGATTAAAGAAATAATCATCAATATTTAAGCATTTCTGAATGTTATTGAAAGCAATTTTCATTTGTGTTTGCCACAAGAAGCGTCCCTGTGTAACGCCAGCGTAGCCAGAGGGGGGGGGGGAATGCTGTTACTACTCAGCGCTGTGCGCGAAGTCAGTGGTGCGATCTCCTGTTATATACAGAAAATCATACAGAAATTGACTGAATACTGCACCAGATATGGGAATCCACATTTCCAGTATGAAACCAAATATAAAAAGAATTTGCCAAGAAAAGAAGATAAACCACTCTTCGCACTGTAAACTGCCAATATAATGCATATTAGTTTTTGAGCTTTATTTTTTTGTACACATTAAATGTGATTTTTGTTTTTAAAGATGTGCAATTAAACTAAATGTTGATCTCATGACCTTGTTTAGCATTCGTTTATTAGTATCCTTACTTGGTTTTGGTCTACTTTTTCAGCTCCATATATGAGACTGTTGTTAGGGGTTCTGCAAAATTCTTTCGAGTTTAAAAGGGTTCCATTGCCAAATAAAATTGGGAAACACTGCTCTAGGTCATGGGTTCCCAAACTGGGGGGTGTGCCCCCCTGGAGGGGGGTGAAAAAATTCCAGGGGGGGCACGAGGCGACCCAGCCACACACACGCACCCGTCAATCCCACGCCAAGTTTTGCTGCTATTTTTTGAGGGGGGAGGTGTGAGGGTTTTTCAAAAATCAAAAAGGGAGCGTGATGCCGAAAAGTTTGGGAACCACTGATCAGGTGTTTGCCTGAGGCAGATAGCTGTGTGTCTGGGCAGGGGGGCTCCAGGGGTCTCGGCAATGCTTCCCTGGAGCAGGTTGCAGTGGATGGCCAGGGTAGATACCTCACTGTGTAGAACAAAGTAAAGTTCTGGAGGGTGATGGGTTGTTGGCTGGTGGTGCTTGTGAAACTGCGCTTGCACAAGCTGGAAGTGAGTTGTGTGAAGAACCACAGTGTGTGGGGGCTGGCGGTCTGGCTGCTGGAAGTAGCAGTGGGTCAGTGAAGGAAGCTGTCTCAGTCACTAGCTGTGCGCCTGAGAATAGCCAGGGGTGCTGGGACAAAGGAGAAGAGCCCGTCTCTAATTGTCCATCTTTGTGTGGCACCAGCATGTCTGTGAGGGAAGGGATAGCTCAGTGGTTTGTGTGTTGGTCTGCTAAACCCGGGGTTGTGAATTTAATCCTTTAGGCAGCTGTTTGGGGCAAAATCTGTCAGGGAGGGTCCTTGGTCCTGCTGTGAAGGCAGGGGACTGGACTCGATGACCTTTCCAGGTTCCTTCCAGTTCTAGGAGATAGGACTCTCCCAGTCCTTTGTCTGAGGAAGATGCCCCTCCACCTGTGATGGCTGAGAGCAGGGCTGTTTCCCCAGAGTTGGGACTAGATACAGCTAAGGCCCAGAAAAAGGGTGGCCTTAGGTTTGTGTTTGCTGGGGAGAAGGATGCTGTGACTTGTGTAGATCCAGTCAGTGTCTTGCCAGGATCCCAGAGATTCCGTTAAAAGCATTTGCGGAAAATTATGCCAGTCTAGACCTAGCCCCTGGATATGGAGCCAAAAATATGGCATGATGACAGAAAGTGTTGTCAATATACACTTGATATGGAGCTGTTCTTGTTGCTGATGTTAACTTTTGTAATCAATGTGCTGTTGCTACCAAGAATTGTAAAAATGTAAAAATGTACAATGTGCATATTGTTTTGGAAAGCTATTGAACCTGTCAAGAAATGTACCAAATGACAGACTGTATGTTAAAGGACCTTGTGATGTTGATATTTCATGGTTAACGCCTGTAACTGGTCTTGGAACTTCTTACAGGACAGAGAAGATTCCAGCCATAATGTACTGTGTGGAAAGGGAAACTGAGGCACACCACCATTATGTTTTCATGGCTAAGAGCCAAGATGCCTACATTATGAGGGATGAGAATACTTACATTAACACAATGTTAATTGGAGTTCAGAGAGGTCCCAGAGCTGGTATGGATACATTTATTATTTTCCTTCACTCTGGGCAAGATCACGTGCTACACATAGGGATCATGCTGCAAAAGCAGATCTGATTGGCTGTGGTGTCTACCAAGTTTTACCTTGGGTTTATAAAACAGTGCAAGGACATGGTGGTTGGTATGACAGACCTTGCAACGAGGAAGCCTATTATAGGCAAACCTGGTTTTCATACAGATGTCCAGTTCTATACTCTTGTATTGGATTAGAACCCGTACTAGCACAGAGCCAAAACATGGGGAGGCCTGCGATGCCCTCAGTGATGTTACTGGCATCAATTCCTGCATCAATTTTGCATTGGGGTGTCGCCTGCTGATACTGCGAGTGTTCTCTGCCTGAGACAGAGCAGGGCCTGACCTGCCGGCTGTAAGGAAGGAATGTCCAGTCGATCACTATGCTAATTAGCGAGGCTCAGGGACAATGGCTCTCAAGGTGCCCAACACACACCTGAGGAAGGCGTCTGGGACCTGCAAACCAGCCAGGGCATGATGGCTGCCAGCAGGTGAAACAGAGATCGGTCACTTGGCCATGTGACCTGCTCTGACAAGGAGGACACCGGGAGAGATATATAACGCCACGAGGCGGACTCCATCTGGCCTTCAATTCCGCTCCTGATCCCAGATGCAGCCTTGTGAGGAACAGCGAGCCAGGAAGAATCATTGGCCCATCCTGACATAGGATGTACCCCAGAGACTTTTAAGCCAGCGGTTTGTAACATCTCTGCTGAGAGCCTGCATTGAGAACTTGCTGATTCGATGCATGTAATGTATTTTCTTTAACAATCTTATTCTCCACCTTTTCTTTCTTTTATTAATAACCCTTAACATTTTAGATTCTAAAGGATGGGCCCAGCGTGATCTTGTGGGTAAGATCCAGAATGTAAATTGACTGGGAACTGTGGCTGGTTTCTTGGGACAGGGAGAACCCGTTCAGGGTCGGAGCGATTGGGTTCTATAACCCCTCCCTTGTGTGCAGGCCCGGGGCTGATTGCGGCACAGGGAGAGCTGGAGTGTCTGAGGGGTTTTGCTCATGAGGCTTCCTGCTGGCCGGATTGGCAGCTGAAGTGCTCAGTGTGACTGGTTTGTGGCCTGTTTGAGGAAGGCCTCAAGTCAGCGGCTTTAAGGCGCCCGTTTTGAGCAATTTGCCCTGAGCAGATGCCGTCAGTGGTGCCCAGACCTGTCCTGGTCCATCACAGGGGGTAAATCGAGGGTCTCCTGGCAGCTGGCTCCTGCCCGTATTCCCCCCTTTCTACTCCTTTCCTCAGGGCAGGAATTCTTTGTGTTCAGTCCAAACTTGTCTCATCTCAGAAAGTACCACATGCAAAATGGGTTCCAGCATTGGGTGGCCTGGCCACAGGTCTTTGTACGGCCACTCGCAATCCAGGATTACAGGAAAAACAAGCCCATTGACAGACTGTGACCTTAAGCACTGGGCCATTCAGTTCCCCAGTGCCACTACTGGCTCACACGCCAATGTCTAGATTTAGACACAGATTCACACATCACATTTCTAACTCCTCACACAAGGAAGATCCCTGCACAGAAAGTGAATATGGACATTCAGCAGATGGTAGCATTAAAAATGCTACATCATGTGATCGGTTTTGCCTAAAGTAGCTTCAAGTCACACCTAATCATATACCTATTTTCATGAAGCGTGGGGGAGGCAGTTGTGAGTTCCTTGGGTTAACATTGATATGTCCCCATGAGATAAATCTACTGATCCCCAGTGGCAGGAGGTCCCGCAGGCTACCTCCGCTAATAGCAAGAAGCAGGGAATGCAGATAAGTCCTAGTAATACACCATGGCAGGAAGTCTTGTTAATAGCCAGTTCCAAGGAGCTCCAGGGTTTAACCATGCTAACAGCCAGTGGCAGGGAATCCCACAGATTAAACTCAGTATTATAATATAATAAAGCCACTGTGAATGCACTGAAAGTACAAAAACAGATATGTGTATTTTGAAAAATCTTACAGTAAAATCCACCACTGGTTTGGGGCAAAACAGTAAGAATGGCTCTCAAGGTTTAGAAAGAAAGCATGGGGTTAAATGTCTCCTTCTAAGTGCTACAGCAGTGATTTGCAAGGATTAGCCCCACTAATATCCAGTGGCAGGGAGTTCCAGAGATTAACAACATTAAACCCACCAGTGAAATTGCAACCAGGGACAGTTTTGATCACTTCCTTCACAATCTACAGTGTTTGATGTTCCCTCCTTTTCACCCTCCCCTGATGGAGCATTTGAACCTTTCAGGGCCCTGAGATTTTCCCCTTTCAGGATTTTAAGGGGATATCAGAATATTTAGGAAATTGGAGGTGGTAGAAAAATCCTCTCTTCTTAGTGATCCAGGGGCCTACAAGCATTTCACTCACTAAAGCATTAAGGGGACCTGGCACAAGGATTAGCTGACACTAGGGACATGATCTCTATGGGTGTCTGCTATTATGTCATCAATGGTACCAAAACTGACTGGATATCTGGAGATGGGGCCTCGTTAACAGACATGAGTTTATGTTCGGAGAAGTTGGCACATGGCCTGGGGCTGGTGGGTCTGTGGGGTCTTCTGCTGCTCCACATGGTGACTAAACCATATCTGGTACTATAAACAGCAAGTGATGCTACTTCTTAACATGTTGGTTCTAGACGTATCCCACCGCACCCACCATATCACCACCAGTAATCCCACTGCTCACTCCCACAGCTCTAGCAAAAACTATCGCAAGTGCTACAGGCACTTGCTTAAATAGAAGAGGTATTTAATTCACTGTCAGCTCTTCCGCTCCTGCTTTAGGGAGAGACATTGGAGTAGATCTGGTCAGATGGCATACATGGCTGTAAACTGTTGATGTTCTCATAGACTACGTCTCCTCCTGCAAAATTCTCATCGTTTTCCACTTGTTCCATGTTCGTACAGTCATCAGCAGTGAGCTCTGGAAGCTGCAAAAAGGAATGGTTGGATCACATGGTGACTTATGTGCAGCTTCCTCTGGGGTGGAGCAGCTGGGGAAAAGCCCCATACAATACCAGATGGGGACAGCTCACTTGGTGCCAAGATGCAGTCAGGGGCAGGAAGGAAGACTAATGTATCTAGGGCAACAGCATGCCTATGCAGAAGGCAAAAGCAATGAACTATCCTGAAATCCAGTTAGAACAGCTGGATCTATGACCCCCAACCTCTAACAAACTGGAGACACGTCTGGTTACCAACAGGACTCGGAGACTCTGGCCAGTATCTCAGGGACAACAACTACAGGATAGTGCCCCCTAGTGTTCTGCTGGGGCTGTGGGAACAGCCCTGCCTGCCGGGGGAGAGCCCCCACCCATCCGGAGACCGTGCAGGTCCCTCCTGGATTAGCCCTGAAGGCATGTGGAGAGGCATGTGGCCCTGGCATTCCCCACCTTTCCCCCTGCATTGGCCTTGTACAGGTTGGACTGATCCTCTTTCTTCACCTTCCTGGACTTCTTCCCATTGGGGGATGGTTCCTGCTCCCCGTTGCCTCCGTTGTTGTATCTTGAAGGACCATCCTCTGTGTTTTTCCTGCAGGAGGGAATAGCTTTAGATCAGCTCCCACAGCCCAGGAGCTGCTAGTCCTAGAGGTTAATGCAACCAATCCCCAGTGGCAGGGAGTTCCAAGGGTTAAATCTATTCCTATTTAGTGGCAGGGACTCACATGGGTTAAGGATTCTATCATTTAGGGTATGTCTACACTAGCCCCCTAGATTTAAATATCCCGGGCTTCATTTGCAACTTCGAATGCCTACATTAGCCTCCCTAGTTCGAACTAGGGGGCTAGTGTAGACATACCCTTAGTGACAGAGGATCCTATGGGTTAACTTTGATAATATCTGGTGGCATGGAGTTCCACAGGTTATCCCTGCTACTACCCAGTGGCAGAGATTCTGTAGGCTAATTCTGTTTTAGAGGAGCCACATGCCAGAGGAGAGCAGCATCCAATCCTTTCCCAGTTGCCTGCTTTTCACGAGTATCTTCCTGTGTGCAAATGAATTCACCACCCTCAGTTCTCCTCGGCCAGTTCTCTTGGTCTGTCTGCCCTACACTCCAAGCCTCTGGCCCGGTGTCCTCACCTGGCTCTCGCAACCTTGCAGACCACAATCACCAGCACCAAGAGGAGCAAAATGCCACCAGTGACTCCATTGGAGACCATGAGCAGGAAATTATCATCACCTAAGGAGAGACAAGGACACAGATGGTGTGTGCGGTGGGATCAATGGTGTCATGATGGCATGGAGAAGCACGTGTATGAGGGTAATTATGGTTAGTTACAGCCTGCTTGTGCATGGGAGGAAGGAGCTATTGTCCCCTCCCCTTAGAGACCTGGTGTATATCTAAGAAAATAGGGTAAGGGCTCCCTAGCTACCCATCGCTTCCTGGGTTCCCCTGGCTCTGAGGCAAATTGGTGGGTGGCTTCTATTTGGGGGTGAAAATATACGGTAACACCACCGCCACACTCAGGCTTCATATTTATAGTAGCCCAGTGTCTGAGAGTCTGTAACGCCGAAATGCTGGCTGTTCCCTCTGGGCGGCCCGTGCTGCATGGGGAGTGCGGGGCCCAAACTGCCGCTTGCTCCGCTTGCTCGCCTGCGGCGGCCTGGCTGAGTGGCCTAGAAGTCAGCCAAGCGCCACGGCGGGAGGCGAAGGGGGGCGGGGCGGTGACTTTCATGGCCAGGGGGAGGGGCCTGGAGCTGCTGTCACACCACACGTCACTGCCCCGCCCCCCTTCGCCTCCCGCCGTGGCGCTTGGCTGACTTCTAGGCCACTCAGCCAGGCCGCCACGTGGTAGCAAGTGGCACAAGCGGCTGTTTGGGCTCCGTGCCCCCCATGCAGCACAGGGAGTGCGGAGCCCAAACGGCCGTTTGGGCTCCACAGTCCCCCGAGTGAGAGGCAGGAGGGGGAGGAGAGCTGAGGGGGGGGGCAGGAGGAGGAGGACAGGAGAGAGAGAGAGAGAGAAAGAGACGGAGAGAGAGACAGGAGGCTCAGGAGAGAAGACCAACGTGGAGGAGAGACCTGAAAATCCCGTCTTATGTCAGGCTAATTAGCTAGTTATTAAATAAAAGGCAAGTTATATTTAGGCCAATCTGTGTAGAAGACTAATTATGGTACTAGGAGACATGACTGTGTGTGAGCGTAATTATGGTAGTAGGACACCCCATGCCAGCCCCCACCACCCAGCTGCCCCAGCCCTGCAGCTTATACCCAGGCTGGGGTGTATATGTGAGTAATTATGGTAGCAAGGTGCTCCACCTCCACCCCCACGGGTCCCCGGTACCTGCAGGAACGAGGGGCAGCTCGGCCTGGCTCTGCCCGTGGGCGTTGGCGGCGGCGCAGGACACGTTGGTCAGGGCCCCGGCCGGGCCCTGCAGCTCCCCGCTCACGGCCGGGCCTCGCACCCAGGACGTGGCCCGCAGCTCAGGGCCCTCGAAGTCCCCGGGGAGGGTGCGGTTGGGCCGGCGCCCAGCAGCACCCAGATCGGCTGCATTGGGGTCAGTGCTCCCTATGGGCCGCATTCCCCACCCCCTGAGCCTCCCCCCACCCTGGAGTGCATCAAGACCAGTGACCCTAGAAGGAACAGGCCATTTCACTGTTCCCTGAGCCAGCCAATGTCCCGTTATGGGGCTGGATCTGGGCTGGCCCTCTGCAGAGGGGAATTACGGTAATGACAGACATGGGTGCACGTCAGTAATTACAGTAGCAGAGCACCCCAATGCCCAGCACCCTACCCTATTCCCCACACACCACCGCAGCTACATCAGCCGTGTAGCATATGGCCGGGGAGTGGCATGTACAGCGGCAGTTGCGGTTCTCACCGCCCCACACCCAGTCCCCTGCACATCCCTGTACCTGCGGGCGTGTCGGGAAGGTCCCCAGTACCTGCAGGCACCAGGGGCAGCTCGGCCCGGCCCCGCCC